CATTCGCTGACGTATCGCAGACACAGCCCGTATGCTTTTATAATTCTCTAAAAAAACACAATTAATCTGAGAAGACGAGGTCAAGTAAAGTAAAATTATAAAAGGAGACTAGAACCAGACCTTAGATCAAACCATCGGTAGAATGAGTTGTGTTCAGCTTTAGTTGCCCACTCATGGTTTCCTTTCAAATCCCACTCTTAGTTTCATTCTTCTCTCACAAACTCATGTTCTTGCTTTTTCAGTCCTTCTCTTCGCTTATCTCACTTCCTTTCTCCTTTGCTGCTTTCTATAAGTTTTGTTTATTCTCCCCTTTTGTTCATTTCTATATTATCAGCCCTCCTTTGTGTTGGCATTATAGTTATTATTATAGCTAAACAAATGACATTACACCTAGTGGTATTATCTGACCACATCTATGGCAACACTTTTGCAAGAAATAAAGCCTCCCAAACTGGTAAAGTATTTTTGAGTCTTCTGAGATTTTTCTTAGTATCTACATACTCCGATTAAGCTATTGGTTGCAAAACCAGATAATGCGATTGAACACCTATTGTTGATAGGCTGCGAAATGCCACACTTGCTAGCAATTGGAGCAGTCTCCAGGGCTCGAAAACTTGCCTCATTTCCCGTGACATTGCGGCGGTAGGGAGGTGCAATGGTCATCCTTGCTAACTCGTTGGGCATGTAGGCCTGATTCACTTTCCCCTGCACATCAACAGCCAAATCCGGCCCTGGCGACCTGGCGATACTGTGTACCGGTTCGGGAAAAAATCCAGCTCGTAGACGATTTGGCACGACATCGAACAATCGGAACCTTTCTCCTTTGGCCATTTTGATTGGCCGATTTTGCAGAGTTTCCATTTCTTTAGAAGGAACACTTTGGACATTTGTTGTCTTGGCATCGGTAGCAGCGGGTGACATCGCCGTCTTTGACGCCGTCGCCGCCACTCCGTCGAGCTGGTCCATCTGCATCTGGAGGGCTTGGTCGGCAAGGGTGCGGTAGACAAGATCCGGCGTCAAGGCGAGGACTGACAGACCAATCAGGCAGAACCAGGCCGAGGCCAATCCCGAGCCGGCCCAGAGAGCCGTCCAGACTCCGACCAGTTCACCCCCGCCGCTGGTGGGGAAGAAGATGACATTGGCGATCAGAAAGATGCCCAGGTTGCCGAGGATGGCCAATCCGAGGCCGGCGGCTATGATCCACGTGAGTCTGTACGAATGGAGCAGCAGTTTGACATTGACTAGCAGAAAGATGATCATCAAGACGAGGGTACCGAAGCCGGTCAACTCGCTGACCGAAGAGCCGGCCTGGTTACTGGCGGCTGTGTCCAAGCCGCCTCCTCCTGCCTGACCGGCGGCGGCCACTGCGTAGACGCCGAAAAAGGCCACCAAAGCATGCCAAACGGCGTTGGCCATCCAAGCTGCAAATGCACGCCAGCGAAGCACCGAGTTGCCGGAGATTCTGCGGTAGAGCTGAGGCAGACGAATGAGATGGCAGGGCGATACGGCCTGCTCGAAGATGCCGTAGAGCAGGATGGGCAGACTGGTCATTGTGATGTTGTACAAGAGCAGGTAGACCTGAGCAAACAACGCCTGAGCCGAGAACATGCTGAACGGGCAGAAGAGGATCTGGGGCAGGGTGAAGGCGAGATTTTTGTAAAAGAAGTATTGCACAAGATTGGCTACTCGTAAGTAGTAGAGGTGACCATGGACCAGAAGGGCGCGCTTCAGAAAGCGAAACCGGCCAAACGCATAGTCGGCAGATCGAACGGCCTGGCGACCCTCTTTGCCGAAGAGGCCGAAGCCGACATGCGCCTCGAGAATCATGGACACATCATTGGCACCGTCTCCGATAGCAGCACAAACGGGCGCCGGTTGTCTTGTCTCTTTGATGAGACGAACAATCTCGGACTTTTGAAGTGGCGTCAGTCGGCAGCAAAGCACCGCTTTCACTCGCAGACAGACGGAGACAAACAGGTCGCGTACGCCCATCTGAAAGAGCAGAAAGGAAGATGTGATCGCGATGCGCCGCCAGCTCGCCTGGACGTGTCGGCTTTTAGGGACCTCACTGGCCCGTTTATGCTCATTACACAAAATTGCAGCTCACTACTCACAACTTTCTTGCCTCACAAACAAGACTGCTTGAGACTATGAGTCATCTGCACTTTTTGCCTGTGTCGACCAATCAAATCTGGCCACTGCATCGAGTCTAACCCTGGACCTATCAGATCGAGGCGTTTTAAACCAATCAAAAGCTATGGGGACTTTAAATTCGTATAAGGGCGAATGAAGAACAGATTCGTCGGTCGATCAAAAACTGACGCTCAAATCAAGCAAGCCTTTTAAGCAGGCGTAACTCACGAATTGGCGATTCGCCACGAACTCTACCTCGCTCGACGCGACATCTCGTCGTGTACACCATATTCACACGGCGCTGTTATTCGCAACTCTCTCCTTTGCATAGAGCGGTTTGCCTATAACGCCCGGAAATTCCCACCCATCAGGCAGCCGCCCAACGTGTGCATCTTCACGTGTCGCTCTAAATGTATGCCTCAATCTCGTGTGCCATCGCTGCCCTCTTCGACGTCGGCCAGACCTTTGCGTAGAAAGGACCGGACTCAGCCAGCATTCACGTGCCCGGCAAAGTCGTCCTACTGTGGCATGACTTTACATTTCGAAGGAAAAGTTGGTTGGAAGGCATTGGTGATGTTGCCCCACGGGAACTGGAGGAGGATTGCCGCGTAGGGAAGCTTGTTCAATCGTGCGAAAGGGCCCCCGATGATCCTGCTCTACTATTTTGTCCATACCTCAGTGACAAACAACATCGGAGCAAGAATACATACCTTCTTCACATCTTCAAAGTCTTCCTACGACTGCTGGGCTTGCAGCCGCAGCTACAGGACAACAATTGATCCGCAGAGACAAGGCGACTATGGCGCAGGAACGAATTTGTATCAACGTCGCGACCCGGTGCCAAGGGGAACCCTCCGGCGTCTTGTGAAATCGACGTGACAATCTCGTAATTGCACATTTTTACTTGAAACGAAAGTAAAGCCAACACTTGTACTCTCGACGTGAAGCTGTTTTGCGCCTGAGATCAATCTCTGTGACTCTGTGACGAGATCTGTAGGCCGGTCTCACCAGCCTTTTGACGTTCAAGCTGATGCAGTTCCTCTCGGTTACGGCTAACCGGTCCGTCATGCCTGGGCATAGGCATCCTCAGAGATGGGTATGAATAGTAAAATAGCTTTAAGTCAAGAAGACGAGTGTTTGCTTTATTCTACTTTCTAGTGAAACTGTGTTGACGGGATTCTTAGGTTGTTTTCACCAGAAGATGACGGTCAGCT